AAGGAATGAGTTTGCAGGAACCACTTCTCTCCCAGACATAAAGTAGAGCAGAGAAGGATGGAGAATGGATCTGAGAGCAAACAGAAAAACAAGGTTCCCATCCTCCTCACAGCCCCATGAGCCAGGAATAATTATTACCTTCATTTTTCAAATGGAGAAACTGAGGCATGTGGAAAGGTTAGGTGAATCCAGTACCTGGGAGAACCTCAATTTGAATTCAGATCTATCTGATTCTAGAGAACAAACACATAACATACATTTTCAGCCAGCTTAGATGAGAGCCTGGTAGTTAGAGTGGACAGGTCCCAGGTCTGAAAAGCATATTGTAATGTTAAATCCCACTCTATAAAGATAAGATACTCAGATGGGGTTGGCTTAAGAACTGAGCTGAGTGAGGGCATCAGTGAACCAACCCTGATTCCTTCTAGCAGAATGTCTGAGAACTCTGCAAGGACTTTGGAGCCAGGCATCCTGGGTTCCAATCTTGGTTCTGCCATTTACCAGCTGTGTGACCCTGGGCAAGATATTTAACTTCACTGAGCCTCTCATTTTCAAAGTGGATTTGGTCATGTCCACTACCTTATTGGGTTATTTTGAGATTATATGGAATAATGTGTGCAAGATAATTAGCATAGCACCTGCCACATGGTTAAGATTTACTAAACAGTATCTATTATTATGAGTGTTAGTAGTCTCCTTTTGCAGAGACTTTTGGAGAGAAAAGAGAGATCCAAATTCTCTGAGCTTAAATCCTGGCAAAGAATTTGTCATCAAGTCTCTGGAACTCATATGAACTCTTAAGGTTACTTTGTTCTAGAAAGGGTGTCTCTGTATCAGTCAGGATGGGCTAGGTTATGATTCAGTAACAAATGTTTCAGAGTCTTAAGATAACAAAGTTTATTTTTTTTGCCTATGCTACATGTAAACTGCAGCTTATTATAGAAGCTCTGCTCATAAAAGTCACTGATGGAGGCTCCTTGTTGACACAGACTTCCTTTTTTGCTGAGGCCAAGAACAGACTATAAACCGTGCAATGGCTCTTAATCCATACATTGCTTGTGTTCCCATTGCATTAGCTAAAGCCTTATATAAAGCAAGTGGGTAAAGAAATATAATCCTACTATGTGTTGCAAACAAGATAAATATTTATGAACAACCCTAATGACCTTCAGAACAACCTCAGTGAAACTTCTGGTTGGGATGAATAAAACAAAATTCCCAATCTGGAATGAAAATATTTTGGAGCTTCTGACAGGCCAGACTATCCTATAGGACATCATAAAAGTTTGCATTTCTGAAGACATATAGTTTTGTTCCTACATATTGCTTAGGGTCACTTGTCTGAAAATCACTGTTGGCTTCTGAAAGGTATTGTCAAAGGTGGTTTCTGGAGTTGAGATGCTACCTGGAAACAAGGCATCTTGTCTTCCGGAAGAGGGATCTGAATGTGAACTAGATTGTGAGTGCCCAGACTTATCCAGAGCCCGTCTACTATTACACAACCTGATGTCAGATTATCAGATACTGAGGGCTTGCTGAGCAACTTCAAGTTCTAGTAGAAGGAGCAGGGCCTTCCCTTGGCTTTCACAACCCCATGCTCTCCTGGATTTCTTTCTCCCTACCTGGGTGCTTTTTCTGGCAACTTTTGTTGGCTCAAGGCCCTCCTTTATTCTTATTCCCTACTCTCTCAGCACACCAGGAACCTAGGAGTCATTCTTAACCTCTTCCTGCATCCAATCCAACACCAACTTCTAGCAATTTAACCTTCTAAATAGCTTTAAACCCATCATCCATTTGCTTCCTTCTACCTGCACTCTCCTAATGCAGGCCATCACCATGTTCCCTGGGAAGCACAAAACTTACTACCAAGACTCCTGCTTGGTTGTCAGCTTCCCACCCACCACTTTCCCAAACATCCCACACATCAGCCAGAGTGTGCAACACCGAGCATTTCAAACACTGCATTTCTCCGCCTGATCCCCACTACGAGTGATTAAAATCCTTTCTATTGTTCTTGCAGTTTAAGGACAAAGGCTTTGGACTTTTAGGACAGAGACTTTAAGAAAAATTCTTCAACATGGCCTCTAAGCCCTGGCCCAGCCCACACTTGCCAGCCTTACCACCCTCATCTCCTCCCACTTGCTCTTTCTCTCTGACTTTGTCCACACTGGCTTGCTTTCATTTCCTTACAAAAGATGGCTCTGCTCTTCTCTTGCACATACTGCTTCCTCTGCTGGCAGTGGCCCCCACCACAACCCCCTTTTTTCTCTACGGTTCATGCCTCGTAACACAGCTCAGTTCCCACCTCCTCATGACAATCTTCGTGGATCCTCAGACTGTCAGACCCCTTGTCATGTGCTTCTTCCCCATGGGACCTATCATAATTATAATTAAAGACTCCACTATAAAACTATTATTTAACATCTACCTGTCCATCTTAAATTCTTGACCTCTCTCATTTCCTTTTTTATTTCCTAGTACCTAACAGTGCCTTGCACAAAATAGATGTTCCAGATGTTTGTTGAGTGTCTAAGATGTGATAAATTATTTAATAAAGGAGAGTGTAAGTGGCTATTATAATTATTAATAGTCACAGACAAGTATAACTTTAAGAGTGGAAGCATTCAAGGAGCAATACATGAACCATAGAGTTTTAGGGGCTCAGGACTCCATGGGTCTTGAGAAGCATGTATCCAAGCTTGGCAGAGAAGTAGGAAGCAGATTACTCATGCTCCCCACCCCCACTCCCACTCCCATTCCCTGGGTCAGAGGAGAGGGAACAACATAAATACCAAGGAGAATAGGGTCCCAGTTCTCCAGTGGTGCCCAGTAACACAATGGGTGATGGTCTTCCATGGATGAGTATCTGCAATTGAGAACAAGGCAAAGCAGAGGCTGGGAGGCAAACACACATGTGCCCAGGACACTTGAAGGAAGGAATTTGAAAATACTTGATAGCTAGACGTGGCTGGAGATAGACTTACTTTTATTTCCTCCTTAGAATCAGTTTTTGTCTAAAAGGAAAAAAGTTTTCATGAAGAGGACAAAGAGAAGCAGAACTACATTGAATTCTAATGAGATCAAAGTAAGCTTTAGAATACTTTTAAAGACATCTAGTCTTATTACTTTTGGAGACATAGAAGCTCCAAGATTTTCTTTTAGAAAATGTATTCTCTTGGATGTTCTAAACATACTCCTTAAACTGTCTTTAGCTTTTAACTTACAGATTTCCCCAAATGAAAGGTTTACAAAGATTGTTATCAACACAGTTTTCAATTTTCTAAATTACCTGATATAAAGCAAAACTGGAACAAGCATAGTATTAATGATTAGCCGTGATTTTTACCAAATCTTTCCTGATGGTCGTCATCATATTATTCCATAAAATATTTGAAATGGATTACAAGGATGATCTCTAACATGAAAGTAAGAAATTGTTTAATAGGCTTTCCATAATCCAGAGTCACAAGGTACAATCCCTCTGGTAGCCCCATTTGGTTATACCAATGATTGCACAGGTCAATGAGTTTGACCCTTCACTCAGGGTGACTTACACCTCACCCATTCCTCTGTACCTCCAATTCTGTTAGGATATGGCTAAACAGCTTTCCTCTTTATCAAATTTTTCTATAGTTACTTTTTCCAAAGACTGTTGGTTCTGGTCCAGGGTTCCTACTTTACCTCCATAAATCACTGGCACACATATGTAGATTTAGCATGCATCCATGAATTGTAGAATTGCTAGGAACCACTATAGGCCACAGAAGGGTTTAAACAAACCCTTAATATTCACAATGTTGGTTTTCTCTAGCTTAATTATAAATAATGTTTTTAGAAGATAGTCCATAAATTCTGGGTCACCTGATCATTAATTGTTGAAAAATATAATCTAGGTAACAGATGAATTATATCTAAAGCCCCATAAATTAATCAAATCCTGGAATGAATGAAATTTTAACCTCCCAGAGATAAGACTTAGTCAACTTAAAGCTCTATAGGGTCATCGCATACCTTAGGTACATGACCTGAATTTTTTAGTAGTGATAATAACAATAAAATTATCTACATAGTTAGTAACCCCATTTTATAAACACAGTGATGCTTAGACAAATCCTAATTAAAAGAGTAGTAGCTGCCTCTCCTCTGCACATGACCTGCAATCTGTTCCTATTCACAAAACCAGAAGTGGCACCTACAGGAATCCTATTATTAATTAGGCATGTGCTTGAAGATTACAACATGACTACCATTAAGACACGTCTGAAATGGTAATTATTCTCAACTACTAACTACAGCTTGACAAACTACATTACCCAGAACCATGAAGGATCTTGGAATATTAAATACAAACTAAATCTATGGTTTTAATCTCTCTATGTCTCATTTTCCTCATCTATACAACAAAACTAGTAATCGTATCTGCTTTATATGGGAGTTGTGAAGATTAAGAGTTAAAATATGTAAGGCATTGATGGACAGTGTCTGGTGTATAGCAAGCAAAATACAATGTTTGCAATCATCATAAGAGTTTCTTGGGAAACATCTAGTCCAGGAGGCTTCATTTGATCTAGGTTCATAATCAATCAGTGTGGTAGTTCAGAATCCCAGGCTTCCCCAACTCCAACCCCAACAGCTTCTCTTTTCCAATTACAAATAGAGTTTTCCTTCAATGACTACCCTATGGATTATGTCACTAAAATCTTGAAAGCAGTAGTTCCTAATTTCTTGGAGTCAGGGGAACACTTTGAGAATCTGATGAAACTCTAGACTCTCTCCTGAGGGGGGAAAAAGTACATGTAAAAGTGTGCATTTGGTTTCAGGGAGTTCATCACCCCCGCCCCCCAGAGGTCATTCATGGACCCCAGATTAAGAAGCAGTGTTTGAAAGCATGGCTTGGAAGACAGCCGCATTTGGGATCTTGTTCTTTTAACAATGTCTAAAGCAAGATGAGACAGAAATATACATTTGCACATTGTAAAGGAAGAATTAATTACTATTAGCCAGGCAAGTACTTTCCAATAAAGGATTTTGATGATGATGAAGAAGATGAAGAAGAAGAATGAAGAAGAGGAGGAGTCTTCCAAAATGGATAAAGGTAGGTAAACTAAAGGTAGACTTTGAATTTAAGTAAGCTAAGTATGCAGCAGGGCTTTGAAACTGCGTGGCTGTTATTATTAGCAACTCTAGAGGCAGTTTGAATAACTGATTATATCTATGGCTTTCTTTAAAACCTCCAACAGGCAAAATATTATCACTGGGGCTCTTCACGCCTGTTCAATGATTCAGACACAAAAGAAATGCTAATTATGAGAACTGGGCTGTGAATTCTGAGAGACCCTAGGGACAAAATGATTATCTGGTGGTCTTATGTTGCTGGAAATTTATTAGAGTGTTTTAAGATTACATTAACTGGTTTTCACCTTAAGTGCTCTGCCTGGAGAAGCATTAAAGGCTCCTGATAAGAAAGATTAGAAAAATTTCAAAGAGGTAATGGCATCAGCCAAAAGATCTTTCGGGTGAGTCAGGGGTACTGTAAGGAGAAAAGCCCAAGTGAGGTGACTGGGATCAGCCAGGTGGTGGGATGGGCTTGCTACAACCAAAAGCTTCCACTTTGACCTGGGCTCCCTAGGCCCCTCCTCATCTCCAGTTTCCAACAGCGACAAATGCCAGAGACCAAAGAGGAAGAATAATATATTTACAACAAAGGTCAGAGAATGAGGCCAAGGACCTCATTTCTGCTCCATTATGGTCTCAGATTGCACCTCTGCCTCTAAAATCTTCCCAAGGCCCAAAAGTGTTGACATGCTGTTACCACTGTGGACATCTGCCATCCTCCTCTCCATCACAGCTCCAGTCTCCAAGGCCACCCCTCTTCTTGAACCATCCCAAGCTCATCCCTGGCTCGGGGATTTCTTATTTGTCTCTGCTGTTAGGAACATTCCTTTTCTGGATATGCACATGACTCAGTCTTATGTTTAGGTCTTAGCTTATTTAGCAACTTCCTGTTCCCTCCCTCATCACTTTCTTCTGTGCTATCCTATTTTACTTTATTTATAGCACGTGTCACTATCTGATAACAATCTGTGATTTGTTTTCTTTATATTGCCCATCTTCCCTGTTAGAATGTAAGCATAATGAGAACAGGGAGCTTCTATGTCAATCACTGTCATGGCCACCCCTCTCTCCCGTCCTGCCAGCTTAACACAGAGAAACCACTAGCTATACATTTGTGAGCTAAAGGAATGAATGCATAGGATTAGCATTTGCTCTGTGCCAGGCACAGGGTTGTAGTTTTTACAAATACTATCTCACTGAATTCTCACACCAACCCTCCAAGGTAGGTATTTCTCTATTATCCCCATGGTACAGATTAGGTTTCAGAGAGGTCATGCGCTTTTCCAACGTCAAAGCTAGCTTGTTACAAGCTAGCAAGTAACCAAGATCTGATTTGAATTTAGGCATGTTTGACTCCAACACATACACTAAATCAGGAGTCAGCACACTTTTTCTATAAAGGGCCAGCCAGTAAACATTTAAACCTTTGGAGGCTATATGGTCCTTGTCACAACTATGCAACTCTGAAGCAGTATGAGAACAGGCATAGACCATACATAAACAAATGGATGCTCTGTGTGCCCATAAAACTTTATTTACAAAACAAGTGGTAGATAGGATTTGGCCCAAGGGCCATAGTCTCAGACCTGTTCTTTAAATCATTATTTGATATATGCTATGGCAGAAGGGGGTTAAACAAAAGAGGGGGATAAAAGAAAAAATTAAAATATGTGCTCTGTGCATGGTGAGCCCCTTTCAGATAAGAAAGACGGCCATTTTCAGTTAAGTTTTAACTTAGTTAAAAGAAAAAAAAAAAGGTGGAATAGAAGAGTCCTGGTAGGAAACAGGACTCTACTGATTCAACTTCTTGACTGAATTATGGCCATCATCTACAAATACAGTAGAGTTTAGTTCAATTAAGCTATTCCATTTTTACCAAGGTTCCATTCACAGTGTAATTACACCTGATTTCGCATCATGGGAAGTATACGTGATGCCAGCATCTGAACAGAACCACATAACCTCCCATTGCAAGCAAGCTCCAAAGAGTCAACATTGAAGGACCAAGTGTAGCAAGCCACTCTTAAAATTCTTTTCAATAGCGAGCCTAAAACCTTTGGTCTTTCCTTCTCAAGCAAGCTTATGAGTTATTGGCAAGAGATGAAAGATTCGATATGAATCACAGCTCTGAGCCAGCCCATTGGGAAGGGGCACACTATTTGTGCTTATGGTCATTCATAGGAGCTCTTGAGACTGAATATCAGCATTAAAGCAAAAGATCAACTCACCAGTCCCTTGGGCCTGGGCTAGACGGTAAGGGCTGAGCTTTGAGAAGGTGGGACGTAGAAGGACAAAGGCAGTCGTTTTTATAGCGCTTGGCTGTGCATCAGGACAGGCTAGTGTGGCTGGGGTGCCCTGGGGGGTTAGGCCTCCTCTCCTGCTCGGCTTTTCTCTCAGGAAATCCTAGGTCATCAGAAACCCATTAGACAAATATTCATTTCTCTCTTACCCTGAAGAAAGAGTGCCTGTGGAAACAGCACGTGGTGCTTAAACCAATAGGCACATTTTCCTCAATTTGTATGCAATTTTCCAAACTTGGGTTTTAAATTTTGGGCAAGTGACAAAAATTCAAACTTTAGTTAGTTCTCCTGAATCTTCTCCTAAGCCCATCGGTGCCCCTCTTTGTAAAATCCAGTTTTAGCGAGAACGCTGCTAAATCAGTTTCACCAGGTCCCCAACCTCCCATATCTGATCAGGCTCCTCGGCCTCCACCATCCCACAGGTGTTGTCTGACCACCCCAGCCTGTCTTTAGTGAAGAATCCTGTTAGGTCAGTTTAGCCAGAGTCCCCCCACCCCCACCCCCACCTTGCTGTTCCCTCTTAGTACTTTTCCATCTGCTCACTGCTACCCTGCTCCTTGCCCAGGCTGTATGTGGAGTTGAGTCCAATCTGTGTTCCCCACTGTAAAAACCCCATCATGGTGGTCCTTATGCTCTGGTGAGAGTCCTAAAGCATCTGCCATACCATGTTTACAAGTGTCATTGAATATTTTGTTTCTTTAACACAGGAAAGCAGCCCTAGCATGGAAGACTCAGCATGTGAAGGAGAACCTACAGATGCAAGATCTGCCCCAGCTCTGCCATTAACCTGGGCGCCCTTCCCTTCCCTTCCCTTCCCTTCCCTTCCCTTCCCTTCCCTTCCCTTCCCCTGTCTGAGCCTGTTTTCTCATTACCAACAGAACAAGTCAATCTCATACATATCTTTTCACCCAGTCTAGTCCATGTTTTTGTTATCTAATACCTGTCATATTTATTATTGTTTATAGTTATTATTTAGATTGATAGGTATTAATAAAAGTGGATTTCTATTGAGTGCTTAATATTTACTAGGATTACACCATATATTCTAACATTTCATTCATTCATTTCATCCATGTATTCTAACATTTCATTCTCAGAGAGACCCTAGTGATTGCATACTTCTCAGATACAACAGCTGAGGTTCAGAGTAGTAACATAAATGTCCCAAAGTGAGACAAAGAATAAGTGACAGAGCTGGGATTTGAGCCTGAACCTATTTTTTCCCCCAAGAACTTCATTTTCTTCATGTTGCCCTAGCCCCTGGTCAGAATCTGACAGGAGACGAAGAGCAACGCTGATAAGTCACAGAGCATGAGCTCCCCCTTCCTCAGTTCCTTATTGTCACCATGCAGAAGCAAACATGAAACAATGGCCTCTGCAAATCTCTGGTGATTCTCCAGATCTGGAGAATCTTTTTCTTCGCTAGAGAAAGGCAACTCCTTCAAAATGGACCAAATATGAAAGGGAATATAAGGGAAGGGAGAAGAAATGTGTGGGAAATATCAGAAAGGGAGACAGAACATAAAGACTCCTAACTCTGGGAAATGAACTAGGGGTGGTGGAGAGGGAGGAGGGCGGGGGGTGGGGGTGAATGGGTGACGGGCACTGAGGGGGACACTTGACGGGATGAGCACTGGGTGTTATTCTGTATGTTGGTAAATTGAACACCAATAAAAATTAATTTATTAAAAAAACAAAACAAAAAAAAAAACAAAATGGACCAAATAAACAATCTGGTAATAGAAGAGATTGGGATGGGGGGCTCTCCTTTAAACAAACAGTTGGAGGGTTTTTTTTTTCTTAAAGATTTTATTTATTTATTCATGATAGAGAAAGAGAAAGGCAGATGGACAGTTGGAGATTTTTAAGAAGACATATCAGTATTGGCCTGACCAGGAATCAGGGAGCGGGCATGTGGTATAAGAAGGGAAGATTCTTAGAGATGGCAGAGCAAGGCTGATGAAGTTAACAATTCAGGCAGATCTGATTATCTCAGGGGTGGGGAAGAAAAGAGAATGAGCTTAATTATTGAATGTCTATTATGATCTAAGGCCTTTTATATACAGTAAGCATTAGGTCTTGACAACAGTGTGCAAGGTTGATGTTTTATAGATGAGGTTAGTAAGAATACAAAGAGAGATTCTCTCTTTTTTTTATTCTATCTCAATGCCTGAATAGACACCATTCTAGCTCTTACCCAGATTTTCATGAAGTAGTAGTAGCACTTACTTTATGGAGTGTCTGTAAAAAATATTTAGGCTACAAAATCTAATATAGTGCCTAGTATATAGTAGGTGTTCAATAAAACAGGATGGATTAACAACTCAGTGTGGTTTCTCAAACTGAGATAAGTATAATCTGATCCAATAGTTCTCAACTGGGGATGATTTTGCCCCCAGGGAGACATTTGGAAATGTTTTCAGATACTTTCAGTTGTTACAAAACAGGACAAGAATACTACTGGCACCCAGTGGGTAGAAGCCAGTTTGCTGCTAAGCATCCTACAATGCACAGGACAGCCAGCCCCACAACAAAAAAAAATTATCTGGCCCATAATGTCAATAGTGCCAAGGTGGGAAATCCTGATCTATTCCAACATATTTTACAGATGAAGAAACCATGACCGTGACAGATAGATGACTTGCCCAGGACCATATAATTGATTGATGGCAAATCTGTGATGAGAAACATGCTTAAGCTTTCTACATTGTTCTTGCCAGACCTCAAGCTGCTGACCAGCCAGAGGCTGCCTGCTACAAGAGGGATGAGTTCAGTGGAAAAGAATGTGCTGGCCAAATAGTCCAGGCAAACCAAATACAATTACGTAAGTTCAAGTGGACCAAGCCTATTGCCCCCCAGTCTGGATCATACCCTGAATAAGCAGCCAGGGCAGATTCCAGAAAACTAGGGACCAACGCTTGGAACACAGAGTGCTCACTAGAAGCCTTTGTTGCCTACCAGTTGCACACCCCCACTTTTTCTTTTTCTTAGTGTTGCAAACCAAAACGTAATTATCAAGTCAAGGAAAGAATTTTCTTCTAGGGGCAGCCCTGGTGGCTCAGTGGTTTAGTGCCTGCCGCCTTCAGCCCAGGGTGTGATCCTGGAGACCCAGGATCGAGTCCCACATCGGGCTCCCTGCATGGAACCTGCTTCTCCCTCTGCCTGTGTCTCAGCCTCTCTCTTTCTCTGGTCTCTCATGAATAAATAAAATTTTTAAAAAATAATTTTCTTCTAATAATTAAATAGGCAAGTTAAAATATTAATGATTAAGTGTTGGTATCAGGTCAAGGTAGAAATTGCCGGAAACTGATTCTCTCCAAAAGATACTAGTTATTTGCATTACTGTTATCACCAGCAACAATTTTTTGGCATCTTACATGCCAAGAGATGGGTTAGGTCCTAGAAGAGAGATAGGAAGAAAAGTGTGTTCACCAATATCATGCACAAGGTACATCCTTGACCTCAAGAAGCACTCAGTCCAAGCATGAGAGTCTCCTTTTGTATTGGCCATCACAGACCAAAACCAACATTGCGGAATGGTAAAGGAAAATCTTCCTTACAGCTAAATTATCTAAACCCAGCAACAATCATTTATTTTAAATAACCCATTTTAAAAGATTTATTTATTTATTTTAGAGAGAGAGAGAGCACAAGCAGAAGGGGTAGAGGAAGAGGGAGAGAGAATCTCAAGGAGACTCGGTGTTCAGTGCAGAGCCCAACATGGGGCTCAATCTCACAACCCTGAGATTATGAGCTGAGCCAAAACCAAGAGTTGTTGTCCAACTGACTTTTGCCACCCAGGTGCCCCTGTAATAACCTTCAACACAGAAACATTCAACTATAGCCCAAGAACTTGGATTTTACCACATAGAGTATTGAGATTTGGCTTGCCTGATGGGCATTTTCTTTTATCTGTCAAGCTTCTTGGGGACTTCTGATGCCCTCTACCATATCTAAAAGGTGGGATAACCAAATGCAGTATGGGATTTAATTTAACTAGATGAGATCCTTTGACCCCAAGATTTCCTAACCTCAGCAGATGGATGGAAACCCCTTAAAAGGCTATTCCAGGCCAAGGTACGGGCATCTTTTCCAGCAGTTTCTAAGCTGCACCTCAGTGGGAGATGGAGATCTGGGTTAACACAACTCTGAAGATCAACTTTTATCTTGCAATTTCAATGAAAAATTAAACATCCTGATAACGCTGAGTACGAACCGCTTTTATTTCCATTGCAACTACTTTCTGAGACAGATAATTCCCCTTTAGATTTTCATGAGTTTGGCCCAGAAATTGGATACTCAAGGTATTAAACATACAGCAGCTTGGGATGCCAAGAAAACAGCAGTGTCTATTTAAGGATTTGGCCTCCACGGCCAGCTAAGTGTCTTTGGGAGGTGGGTAGAATTTGAATACATCAGCTCCACCAGTCTGCTACAGACTGAGAAACAGACATTAAGAAAGATACCCCAGGGGCTCCCACTTGGGTTTGGATGTAGGTTTTAACCTTGGTGACAAGCGGTTTGTTAGGCAGTGCTTCCCAGACCTTGAGTATCATGGGTGTTTAGCTATCACTAAACAATGGATGTGGACTTTTTTATTCTTCTTGGTCATAACATTAAAATTAAACACAACATAAATTGATGATCTACAAATGCCATCCTCTCATAAAAAAAAAAAAGAATGTTTTGACATCCCAACAAACAGGAGGGATAGACTCTCAGAAGGAAGTTCCTCCAGCTAAATACATAGTACTAAAGGTTGGCTACTTTCTCCTTAGCTCTTAAATGCCCATGGATTAGAAAAACATCATAGACCAGCACTCATCTGCAGTCTGGAATGTGGGTACAGGGAGTAGTCACTGGAGTTGCTGGGAGAAAAATTATGTTTGAGACCCAGATTGAACAGAGGAGGCATTTCAGGGCAAGGACGGGGAGGAGGGAGGAGTAGAGGTGGAAGGATAGAAGTTGCCCTGAGAATAAGCCACTCTGCTTTATGGTGGCTCTCTACACGTGGTAATGCTCCCCTAAACTGCTTGTTTAATTACCCATCTTTTCCACTCTGCTTGAGTTCCTTAAGAGCAGTGGCTGTGCCTTGTTGCCTGAGTCACGGAACTAATTAGTTGGGGGGGGCAGAGGTGACAGTGTAGGGAAAGGGCATTCGAAAGAGCGATGGCGAAGCACCAGGAACACGCAGTCCTGCTTCATGAACCTATACGACCTCACGATTGGCAATTAGAGGGCACATTTTCTATGATCTAAATCATGCATGCTGTTTCTGGCTAGTGCAGTGGATAGGGAGCTTCACCTCCATCCTACCCAACAGGCTCACCCCGAGCATCATCCCACAAGATAATTAAAATGAGCCCCAAGGGGAGTGCGATGGGGGTTAAGACTGCTACTGCCCCAGGGAGTTGCCAGGGGACCGCTGAGTGAAGGTTCAGCAACTCTCCCGTGTCCCTGAGCTGCCTGGGCAGAAGCAGGGCTGGAGTGTGGAGCCACCGCCTCCTGCCTGCTGCTTGATGCCCTTGGTTTTCCCATTGCCGAGTTGAAGAAGAGCTTTCAGTCCCAAGATTTTGCATTTTCCCAGGCCCTTGCTCCTCATAGGCACTCTTAATCTGGAATCGACACAAAGCAAACATCATCCACATTGTTAGCAAGCAGCCCCACCGTAAGTTCCACAGCAACCACTCCTCCCTGCAGAGAAAGTCCAGCTCATGGGGAAATGGATGTTGCTTTCTCTTAAAACTCGTTTTGGGTAGATTTTTTTTAGCCAACTTGATTTCTGGCAAGAGGTCAAGGCTCTCAATGCACAGAGCCAACCTCAGCTAAACTTCCTGCCAAACCCGTAGGGCGTGTTGGAGGCCAAATGTAAAGTTCACTAAGCAAGTGCATGAGGCTAGGAGAGGATGGGGTGGGGAGAGGGCTCCTGGCCCCCTGTTGCTTGAGAGCTCAGGAACGATGGAGCATCTTCATTAGCACTGGCTCAGCATGCTAACTTAGAGCCCCATTACACAGCTGAAATTCTCTTCATGACTGGAGAACCCAGCTTCACCTTGTAAGATTAGCAAGACTTCAAGTTCTGGGAACTGAATGGTGAGGGTATGCTTTCCATTGCAAATATCCTGCCACTTTCCTTTTATGACCCTTTGGGGAGCATTTGCCTCAGGGTTCAACTTGCTATTCAAAGTCTCTTTGGAAATGCTCTTGGCATGATGTATTATTGCACAGCATTTTTGTGCCTTTCTCAATATCCATCCAGTCCTCTTTGACTCCCCTACCAAATAAAGGTTTTCAAACCCTGATTTCATGTGAAGACAGTTGTGTGAAGTTTCAATCCTATAGCCTGTCTCTCTGCCATCATTGCTCCCTTAGGCGTCACTGGCTAAAACTCTGATGTCCCTGGGAGGTCTTTACTATGCATCCTGGCCAGCAAGCAGTAGGTAGGGATTGGCTAACAGGCAGCTGAAGGCAAGAGTGAGGCCCCAGGTAAGGAAGAGGAGGTAGAGAGTTGATATGCCCCTGGAGGTGGAGGGGACAGGATCCCCCATGGGGAAGGTGGGAGAGGATTGAAGACCATTCTTTCAGGAGCCCGAAACTAATCATTTCCTTTCATCTCGCTTGGCAAGCTTAGCCTTTCCATCACCTCTCAGAGCTTCTGGCTTTGTCTGGAAAAAATGCTAACCAGCTCTTCACAAGGGCTGTCACTAAATCCCTGGCCAGAGAGCTCACAAAAGACACTGTGTGCAGTGCAAAAGGAACATGGTGCTCCCGGGGCAGGGTGGGGTGGGGGGGGTTGAGTGGGTGGGGGAGGGGGTAGCCTTGGGAGCACTCATGGGCAGTCAAGGAAGACGATGCACACATCCCCAAATCCTCAACTTGCAGCTCTGTGCTTGGAATTTCACCAGAGAGGATTGCCTCAGGCCAGTGAATCATTCAAGCTGGACATGTAGGAATCTGGAGGACAAGGACATGGAGAACTTGTTTCTGTCCCTAGGAAGGGGCTTAGAGATTTCCGTCTAGGAGGATCGAGGATGGGGAGTGAGGATGCTGGGCTCCAGCTGGGGAGTGGAAGGAGGTGCTAGAGAAAGAGGCTTCCAGGAGACAGAATCACCCAAGTCTTCCTCCTGGCTTCCTTGATTTTGGATTTCAGACTTTCTCCATCCATGGAGAAAACTGGGTAGAAGAGCACTGGACAGGAAGTCAGGGGATTCTCCTTTACTCTAACTCTATCTTGCTGTGGATCAAGGGAATTTTAAATACCAGAGATTGAAAACTCAGTCTTAGGAATCATCCAGTCCAGGGGATCCCTGGGTGGCTGAGCGGTTGAGCGCCTGCCTTTGGCCCAGGGCGTGATCCTGGAGACCCGGGATCCCACATCAGGCTCCTTGCATGGAGCCTGCTTCTCCCTCTGCCTGTGTCTCTGTCTCTCTCTGTCTCTCTCTCTCTCTCTGTGTCTCTCGTGAATAAATAAATAAAATCTTAAAAAAAAAAAAAAGGAAATCATCCAGTCTATATGCTATACTTTATACTCACAGCCTCTGAATCCCAGAGAGCTGCAGGTGGTTGGCCAGGGTTACACATACTGAGCACCTACTGCATTCTGGTCCAGGGGACATGTTAGGTGCTTCTATACAATTGATTCATCAGAGAAGTCTTTCCTGTCTAGCTCTCCACCTCCATCCAAATTAGGTCCTTTGTTCTTTTTCTCACCACTAACAAGAATGGCCTAGTTATTTGTGTGACTTTTTAAAAAATCCCTATTGCCTCCAATTCGACTATAACTTCTAAAGGGAAGAGAGTTTCCTCTGCCTGATTCTCCACTGTATCCCAGGGTCTCTCACATGGCAGGCACACATGCACATTCAGTGAGAACAGAAGCTCTATTCGCAAAGTAACCCCACGAGAGATGTATTATACCTATTTCCAGATGATGGAAACTAGAGTTTAAACAATGTAAATAACAAGTGGGGAAAAAAGCAAAATTCAGCAGTGGATCTGAATGATCCTGCCCCCCTGCCCTTCAATGGCTTACGACTCTTCTAACACAGGTTTTCAGACTTTGTAGATTCCCTTAGGCCAGGGGGCCTTGGCTTAGGCTTTTTTGGCTATGAGGCTCTAGATCCAGATGCCCCCAAGGCCAGTCCCTGGCCTTGTCAAGCCCCATGCTAGATTGTGGTCTAGGCAGGGAAGATGATGGGGAGGACCACACATAGCAGTGAGGAGAGCCCCACTCAGCAACTGGGAAGGCAGACAGTGGAACAGGAATATCTGCCCAACAGGAATTTCAGAGGGGACCCATCACCAGACGGCAGTGAGCCCAAAGCTAAGTGTTTGTGAAAACCCCTGGTATGTGGGGAGAGTTCTGGCTTTGAGGCTAGACACATCAGAAATTGAGTCTCGACTTTCACACTTACCAGCTTGGGCAAGTTAATTCTCTTAGCCTTAGTTGGTTCCTCTAAGATACAGAATGATGCTAACCGCTCCCCCCGCCCCACCCCTAGAAGGAGGATGAATGAGATCGGGCAGAGGGAGCCCTTAGTACAGCCCCTAATCAACTCTGAGCATCCAGTGAATGTTTCCTTAAGTTCTTCCTTCAAGGCTGGACCAAATTGTTGATTTGGAGCTCATAAGTGGTTAAACCTGGCTACAAAGGTAGGCAAGAGGCTGAGAGGGAAAGCAGATCCTGACAGAGAGGACAAAACTTAAAATTAAACCCACTCAGGTCAGGGTCTGTGCCCACTTAGCTACCATGTCCTCAAAGCCTTGCTCACAACCTGTGCTGTGGTTCATGTGCAATTCGCTCAGCTGGGCACACAGGTCAACAGAGCAGATGGGAGAGTTGCCTAGTGTTCTGCTCATTACCCTGATATCACTCATTGGGTTTTCATGGACTCACTCAGCACCAGATTGGCGGGCAGCACAGGAGGGGAAACATGGGCTGAACTTGTTTCTTGATATAGCCCCCTTGTCCATTAAATGGGCTGACACTCACCTCACAGACTTGTTGTGAGGATTGAGTTAATAAGTGTAAAGCAGTTGGAACAGGGCCAGACAGGGAGAAAACACTCCATCGGTGTTACCTGCTATTACCAGTAAGAGTTTACTGGGTGTCACATGCCACTAGGCCTTGGGGGCCCAGCTGGAAGCAAGACCCCATGCTCCACAGAGCTCCCAGTGTAGGGGAGCCAATGGATAAGGATGCAAGACATCTTAAGGCAATATAATTAGGGCCCAATGAGGTGCAAGGGGCCCTAACCCAGTTCCAGAGCAAGAGGCTTTACTCAAAGACGCAACTAATATGTTGACTTGGCCAGAGCAGGGAGCAGGGGTGGGTGTGAAGAACAAGTGTCTGTGTGGCAGGACAGGGATGGAAAACGGTGAGGGAGAAGGACGGAGAGGTGAGCAGGACCTAGACGATGGTAAATGGAAGAAGTTCTCCCAAGAGAGCAGGAAAGAGTCCAGCTCCGGGGGTAAAATCTGCGGCCCTGGGCTTTTCTTCCCTCTTGTTATTTCCCTTAAAATTATGAGGGGGAAGCAGGATTTACTGTGATCAGCAACTCAGACCATTGCTCTGAAGAGTCTCAGGAAATCCAATGTGTCCCCAGCAGAGATAATTCCCTGGGGGCCACAGAGTCACCAACAAGAAGAAGGGTCCTCCCACCACCCTGTGGAGAAGCTTTGCAGGGCAAGGTGACGATTACATCCCACTGAGACCAACAAAGCACAACCCGGGTACAAAGAGTTCAAAATTAGAACAGCCTGGATGGAAACATTTGGAAGTTAAAACAACTGCTGTGACTAGAGAGAGGAAACACAGTAATCTAAAATGCACAGGAAGGGGCGCCTGGGTGGTTTAGTCGGTGACGCGTCTCCCTTCAGCTCAGGTCATGATCTCAGGGTCCTGGGATCGAGTTTGGCATCAGGCTCCCTGCTGAGCAGGGATTCTGCTTCTCCCTCTCCCTCTGCACCATCCCCCTCTCCAGCTCGTGCTCTCTCACATTCTGCTCTTTCTGAAATAAAATAAAATCTTTTTTAAAAAAATTAGAAAAATGCAGAGGGAAAACCCAGTTTTAATACCAACTTACTTTAAAAGCCTCTTTTTCCACTTAATGCTAAAATAAAATGATGTTTTTCTTATTTTGCATCATATCCTCCCCTTCTTGACTATGTCCAGCCAAACCTCACAATTAGAGAGGACAGTTCTGTCCTCATTCCAAGTGGTTCAATCCCTGCCGCCACCACATGGAGCTCAGTTTGCATCTGTAGCGAGGAAGTTCTCTGACTTGTCCTCCATCCAACCAGCCCAAGTGCAGAAAACACTGCTGAGCTGGGAGCTTGGTGGGGATGAGAACAGTGTACTTCACACAGAGATCTCTGACAAAGTGGAGACAAATTCTCATAAATGCAGTGCTGGGCCCCACTCTTTTCTCTGTGGTCAACAGCACAAGGATTGGGGTCACCCAGCAGGACCTTCAAAGGCCGTGTCTTATTTGCAAATCAGATCGGGTAAGTTTCAAGCTAAGGCAACTGAATTCCTCATATGGTGCCCCAAATCCTATCAGAACTTTGGGGTTCTGAGTCAGTGGGAGACGATGACAGACATGCCAATGGAGGGGACAGACCTCCAGGAAGGACTTCATAGGGAACAAAACACTCAAATGCCAGTGATACGTCGCAATCATGCTCACACCTCTTTCCAGCTGCAAATAACTCACATCTTGGCTTTGCCTTTCTGTAGAATTCCAAGATTCTGAGTCTTTTTTTCTTGCACTTTCTTTTTCCACTTTCTCTGCCTCTCCTGCTTTCCACTCTGGGCCCCAAAGCTCCACCCTACCCCCCCATTTCAAATGTTATGACATTCTAGGAAATTAGACCTCCCCCGCAAAAAAAAAAAAAAAAAAAAAAAAAAGTTACCTGTAATACCTGTATCCTTGACTCTGTAGTGTTTGAGGGATTATTTTCAACCAGCTGATTAGCAAAGCTGATGAAGACTCATCAGAAAATAGCCTCTGCCTGCCTGTAGCTTCTCTGGGTGTCTGTATGGCTGCAGACCGAAGGACTTTGGGTGCTCGGGAGTAACCTCAGAAAAACTCCCCAGGCAGCAGCAAACCTCTCCCAGCACAGTTTTGAAACACCACAGGAGGAGGAAGCCTCTTTAATCAAATAATAACCAGCCAGAGATAAGGCCTGCTAGGCCGAGCTTGGCCAGCCAATCACCTGCTTCCTTCCCACCGCAAGGACAAACAGACCCAGGCTTCTGGAGTGAGTTTCAGGCCTGGTTATAATTTAATGATGCTGTAAGTGGTGTCATCTTGGCTTTGCCTGGTGGGGATTCTCTGACTTGGGAGTGAAGCTTTGAGCTCAGGAGCCTCATTCTCAGTAGAGGAGCCCGACCCAGGGGCTGCAGCTAAGTATCCTGAGAAATCACATGGGGGCACTCAGCTCCCAGCCTGGATGCTTCCATGATGCCAAGAGAGCTCTCACTGCTCCTAAGAAACCAAGCCTGAGTGGGGCTGAGCAGGGCTGGGTCGTGAGAGGGTAGGGGAGTAGGAGTGAGTGTATTTGGCACCAGATGAGCAACTTATTGACTGCGACCCTGAAGAAGTCATGGAGACCCTAGTGACTTGTTCCCACATGTTGGAGATGCTTTACATGCCTTTCCTTGGGTCCTTCCTTGGCATTGACTTTAACTTCTCTATATCCTTCATCCTTCCCAATCACTCTCCCCCTCACACTGTCAGTGAGATGATGCCACAGGGGCATCATGAGGAGGGTGGGTGTTGGCAGCTAAACAGGCCTGAGAATGGATAATGGTATTGATACAGTAGAACTCTTCCATGAAGGAATCTCAGAACCCTTTTGCTAGGCGAATAACACTTACCCATCACTTGAAATTTTAGGACACTTCAAGTGACATCAGAAAGAAACCCCTTCCCATTAGCAGTCATTTCCCCTTACCCCCACTCCAACCTCTCCATCAACCATTTGTTCAACAGAGATTTATTTTGCTTCTACTGTATCAGGGACTGAGGTAATCCCTGGGGTGGGGATGGCAGAGAGGGCTTGGGAAGGAGCACCAAGGTGAGTCCCCTGCCCTCATGAAACTGTTACAGCACAGGAGGCAGAAGTTCATTAGAGTCCTTTGTGCAGTCAAGCCAAAGGAAGGGGCCAGTGAAGGCAACTTGTCACAGACAGTTTGGCCCCTCCAAAGGGAGCAGCAGAAAACCAGTAACGATGGACGAGAAGTGGACTCAAGTCAGTGGGTTCCCTGCAGGGCTCCAACTAGGGGGAAAAAGAAGAAAAGCAAGGTTGTATCCCCACTTCAAAAATATATATACTTATATATAAAGTAGCCTCCTTAAGATATAATTTACATAACGTACAACTCACCCATTTAAATGATATAATTCAACAATTTCTAGCATCTTCACACAGTTGTGTGGCCATCAGCAGAGTCCATTTTATAACCTTTCGGCACCCCAGAAAAAAACCTCTTCCTGTTTTCTCCATCCCCCATCCCCACCTCTACCCATTCTAGGGAACCACTCGTCCACGCGGTGTCTCCCGTGGATTTGCCTATTCTAGACATTTCATTTAAATGGAATCATATACTATGTGGCTTTTGTGACTGGCCTCTTTCATTTAGCATAATGTTTTCAAGGTTCGCTCCATTCCTTTTTATTGCTAATAATATTCCATTGTGAAAATATACTGCAATTTGTTTATCCATTCACTGCTTGGTGTTCATTTGTATGGTTTCCACATTTTTGTTGTTTTGAATAATGCTGTCATGGACATTCACGTACAAGTCTCCACTCCCCTTTATCCACAAATTCACAACCCCATAGCAGAAAAGCAAGAAGGCAGCAAAGCAGGTGCGAGAACTAGCCTTCACAGGGCTTCTCTCCAGGCAGAAGTTAGAATATCATAACAGCAACTGAGTCTGATGTTTGCACAGATTTTTACCATGCAGAAGCACCGTCACACATTCCCTCTCGTGTAATTGTCCCCACAATCATAGGCATGAGGGAGATATTATTTTTATTATTTTAAAGATGACACCATAAAAAAAATTAGAAAGTTTCAGTAACTTGCCAAAAGTCACCCATCTGAAAATTGAAGCCAGAATTAAGTCCTATGCTTTTTTTCTACTTCAGTTCATCACACACAAAACATCTTTAATCTTCTCTTGCAGACTCAGCCTTGGCTTCCAGGATGTGGAGTTCAACGAGAAAGAAGAAGAAAGAAATAAAAGAACTTCACTATTATTTATGGAGAAAATGGCAGTTAGACCAACAAATAGATGTTAGTATTCACATTTTAAAAATGTGTACATTCAGCCCAGAAATATTACATACTTTTTCTAAGGACACAGACCTAGTAAACCACACATGAACAATTGAAAGGCAGTTATGTGATTCCCAAACACGGGCTAGATCAGCTTGCTCTATTGCTAACATTTAACTGAGAGCAGTTGAGGTCTCGGATGTTCAGGTGGGAGGAAGGGTAACCCATAGGAGGCACAGCAGGTGAGGGAAGACCAAGGTGAGGAAGGTGCTGGGCATCACAGGGAATTAGGGAACATGAAAGTCTGAAGATGCAGTGAAAGATGGCTAGAAAGAGAAGAGCCAAGGGTAACAGAGAGAATGTGGGGAGAGTCCTGTTCAAAGGCTGGCCATTTTCCCAGCTTGTCCCGTGGCCAGCAATGTTTCATCCAAACCCTAAGGTTTGATAAACAATACAAACAGATGCTCCAGGTGGAATGATGTGAGAAAAACATTAACCAGGGATAGCAAGTGTGGTATTAGAGTACAGAGCCCTCCCAGCTTCTTATCACTGGTCCAGCCCCAACCAAAGAGCACAGACCTGGTGAGCACCACCCATGAGGGATCCTCCTGGGAGCAGGAGGGCAAAACTCTCCATGGGGGAAGGGCGGTCTCGTGGGCCAGGAGAGCACAAGTGATGGGCATGGCCACAGCTCATCTCTGAAGTGGAGATTCCGGTGCAAAGTGCTCCTTACCTGAGAGTAGGAATCATGGAGTGGGCAGAGGGGTGTGAAAGTACCAGAAGTCTGGAACCAGCCAGGTATCTCATGGGCTCCTGGATCTTGACCCATTGCATCCAGATCATGCCACCTGCATGGGTTTCCTTGGGCCCATTACTCGCAGAATACAGTATGCACCAGGAAAACCAGAAAGTGTTGATTAGAAAATGCTCTAAGAACACGAAGCAGTCCCAAGCTAGTACCAGGTCCCTCATATCTCTGAGCTAGCTATAAGATCCACTTATGGAAAAGGAAAGTGTATCTTTAGATCTGCTCCCCCTTCAGAGTCCCAGAGAGTATTGGGCATCGGGGTGCAAAACAAGGCAGTAGGTTCAACTTGGTGAAAAGAAACAGTATCTTTTGGCACCTACCATAGGCCAGGCCCATGAAAACCCAAAGGGTAGGAATACGTACACCCATTTCAGAGAAAGAAATAGTAGAGCTCAGAGAAGTTAACTAAAATGCTTGAGGTCACACAGTTAACATGTGGTGCAGTTGGGACTTAAACCTAAGGCCATCTGACTCCAAAACCTATCTTCCTGTGATTTCATGTTAGCACTCATAACAGAATTCTTATTCTCTTATTCTTATTCTTAGGGGCACCTGGGCGGCTCAATCAGTTAGGTGTCTGACTCTCAGTGTCAGCTCAGGTTGTGATCTCATGGGTTGTGAGATTGAGCCCAAGTTAGGCTCCATGACCACCGGGGAGTCTGCTTGAAGATTCTCTCCCTCTGCCTCTCTGCCCATTCACGCGCTCGCTCGCACGTGTGCGCATGTGCGCGCTCTCTCTCTCCCAAATAAATAAATAACCCTTTAAAACAGAGAGAGAGTTTTTAGTTTCATTTCCGTTCTGTTTCTCACAAACTACCGCTTATTCCCATTCTCCTTTCAGTGATTTCTCTGGCATTCCCCAAATCATGTGTATGTTAATACATATGTGCATCTAGATCCATATCATACATATCTGTGAGAATATCTATGTACATATCTGCGTGTGTGTTTCCTTGCTTTTGACTCTATGAGTTCTGTTGCCTTCAGAGAATAGTAGCTTTAGCTTTAATTTCCTTAAGGCTATGTCAAAGTTTGTCCTTAAATAGTTGGTTGATGATAGTCTTAAGTAGAGAAATTGGCTCCTGTGACCAGGTAAATCTTCCTACTGCAGGCATTTTCTGAGTACCTGGTCCTGGGATGAGTCTTTTATCCCAGAGAAGATCTGTGCAAACTTCTGTTAATGGAGGTGCCCAGTGATGCATACCATTGATGGCTGTGTCGTGGCCAGATAAAAACCCTTTTCCATTTGGGCTCGGTCTGCACTACTTAAGGGCAGAACCACACAGAGACAAACACGCTTGTCAATTGAATTGGGGAGTCTGTCCAATGTATCACAAATCCAAAAGCATCTTAGCACCAGGCAGGTAATATAAATGAGAAAAATGGGTTAGGTGTAATTAATAGGGTGTAGCGGGGGCTGAGGTCAAATGGGGGGTGCATAACCCATCTAAGGGCATCTACCATCTCCAGCCAAACATTGCATGGAAAATGTAGGCTGTGTTGTCAGGGCTCTTTATCTTCATGAGAGACAGGAAAGATGAACTTTTATGGAAACCTCCAAAATTTTTTAAAATTTGGCAACTGTTCAGGCCAAAAAGATCCCCACAGATTTTCAAGATAATTCAGCCTATGGCTGCCAGTTTTTGCCCCATAACATAAACAAAATACATATTCACATATATTTACTTACTAATACTTTTTTACAGTTACCAAGTTTTTAAATAGACTGTAACAGCCAAACCTCCAAGTGGCTTGTGGGTTTCTCTCTCTTGCCTCCCTAGAGTCATTAAAGTGTGGTCAGAGCACTCTTTTATCAGAAGTCTCCAGGTGCATCATAACCACACAGATCTCCAGACACCACCCTGGAAGCCCTAGGAACAGAAACCAGGAATTGCCCATTGTTTGTGCCTCACTGTGAATAGTAGCTGGATTCCAGTCATTAGGAATCCCACACAAACCCACGCATATTTCCGTAGATTTTTTTTTGAATGACTCATCCGTGTCTGTGAGGCCCCTCTA